CTATTGCTCAATCATACACAATAAATATATCACCATGAAGAAATAAAATTTGCACAATGTCCAAAATGACATAAAAACATAAAAAATTTGCACGTTTGAGGAGATATTTTATTCTACATTTCAAAATGGGCCATAGAGTAGAGAACATCTTCTTCAACTTGACAGCAACTTAAAGCTATTATTGGGTCTGGCAAAGAGTGGAACACAAATGACTTTATTGAATCTGAATGCCACACTATCCATTTATTAAGAAAAAAATAACAACAAAAGCATAGCATTATCATTTAGTGATGTTCCAAATGATGTAATTTAGTACAATATGTTAATATCACATAGTAATCCATCTCACTGATGCAGAGAATTGTTGAAAATGGTGAGTGCAGCTGGCAGCAACATTTGTGGGAAGTTTCAGAATATCACAAAGCTCACAGCGTCACTCAATGTATAATGTTTCCGTAAGATCTATTTATAGATTTTTATGAGTGGTATGTCTCGTAAATATAGAGAAGATCCGGGGCATGTTCGGAGTGCTACATCGGATGGCTCGTGTTGATTCCCGATCATAGAGAGTTTCAACTATTTAAGTGCCGTAACGATGTCAGAATTCAGCAATCTTGGGCTTGTTGGATTCGTCTCACCGAGCCGCTCAATTTTTAAACCATCCAAATATGATTCGAACCCCCCTATTTGGACCCATTTGGGCTCGGGTTGCACTGAATTTAGTGTCGTTAGGTTCGTATTTCAGAGATGTTCAGTTTGGCTATAAGTTTGTCGAAATCGGATTTCATATGATCCAAAATTTGAGTTTATAAGCTTCCAACTTAAATATGCCTAGAGATTCGTGCTCAATCAAAGCAATTTTGGGCGACGTATCAATAGTAGTCAATTTCAGATCATGAGTTGTATAATTTCTCTCATGTGATTTCAAGTGTCTTGATGCAAAAGCAATTACTGTCCCATTTGTATTAAGACACATCCTAATTTTTTAAATGATGGGTCAATATAAATTTAAAATTCTTCCATTCTTGATGAGATAGTTAACACTAATATGATGTTAAATACTTATTTATATCTTGAAAACTATTCTTACATTCTTAGCAGATTTTCTTGAGAAATAGGGAGCCTTCATTAATTAGACCCAAAGACAATTTTTCGTAGTAAGACCATCTGTGCCTCTTTTGATCTCTCCTAAACCCTAAACCTTAAACCCTAAACCCTAAACCCATACATCTATGAAAGAAACTTGTCGGTTTGCTGATATACTCCCATGTAATCCGAGATCTTAAGGGTCCAACCCATTTAGAATTTGCATGAAACCCAAGTCCCCCCATCCTCCTTGGTTTAGAAAGACTTTTCCACGAGGCATAATTTAGGGTTTAGACTATTCTTACATTCTTCTGACCACTTTATCAGTCTGGACAATGCAATAGCTATTTGTGAAAATTCTCTAAAAAAAACTTGTCATAATATTTTGCTAAGTCTAGTACACTTCAAACTTCCAAAACACTCTTTGGTGTAGGTCATTCTTATAATAGCCTATAGCAATAAAAATTTATTTCAGGAGTTATTATAAGTTCAAATTACAAATTGTATTTGCCATAATATAGATATTGTTGTGCTCTAATTATAATAATTTTACCTAATTTTATAGGCATTGTTGGACTTCTTTAAGAAATTGGTATATAACAGTACAAGTGAATTTTCTGGGATTGTTAGGTGTTCATTTTACAAATCAATTTCACCCGATTATTCTAGACAAGCTTAGCTAACTTTTGAATATTTTTTATAGAATTTATAGATCCCCAGATTTTAAGATATAAAAGGATTTATATCTATTTTACGCTTAAATTTTGAATAATTAGCATAATTACATATATCTTTTGATTATTTTATTATAAAATTCTATTTCCACTTACATAACTCATGGCCAAATCATTTTGTCCATTTCGTTTAACAGGGGCAAAAAAGTCGTTTGCCGTTTTTGCTAGTCAGTTAAGTTGTAAAATTTCTTTGTCTCGATGTAGGTTATGTTTTGACTATCTCAATTTTTAATAATTCAGTATTTTTGAATTTTTCTGATCAAATTTATAATTTAATTTTACAAAAATGCAGTTTTAATGAATTCAGGTAACTTTTATTTGTGTAACATTTGATATGTATTGGTACGACTGTTTTGGTTGTTTTGAATATTTATTTGAGATTTTTTGCATCGTGATTTAAAAAACAATAATTTTTATCATTTCTTATCTTCATTTTGTCATCTAAAAATAGTATTTTAGTTCAGTTAAAACTTCATAATACTTCTATACACAATATTTGGTAATGCGATGAGATTGTGAAAATTTAATGTTGCAAACTATAAAACACCGGGTGGAGAATTATTTGACAGTCGTTAGAGCATTTTTGTAGACTTATACAACAATACTATGTGATTTTAGTAGTGCAGTGCACTTTATTTTCAATATGTGTGATTGAAATAATTAAATTGATGGTGAAAAGAGATTCTGTTGGCTGGGAGAAAAGATTTTGTTATGTTATGTATTAATAATTTTGAAGCCTGATGGCTATATTTATTACGAAGGGATTATGTTGATGATGAGAAGGGATTATATTGGCGGCGAGAATGAATTATGTTAATTATTATATGTGAAAAATGGGGGCATCATGGTCATTCTAATAATTTGGTTATATTTCAGTCATTTCAGTATAATTTTAATAGTTACTTAAATGCTTATTAGTTTCAGTATCCATTTCAATTTCAACTTTTTACATAATACTTCAGTTTATTAATTCAATATTTTCAGCTCTTTTAATTAGAGTTATTGATTCATATTTTAGGCTAAGACAACCTACTGAGCCATGTTAGCTCACTCTTTCATTTGTTTTCATTTTCAAATTAGGGAAAAGATGAGTGAGCTTAGTAGTGCTGACATCAGGCTCTGATTTATGCTATATGTATACCTTTTGGCTAGTTTCATTTTTACAAACATTGCTTTTTCTTTTTTTGTTTTTTGGTTTTTGGTTTTTTTTTTTTTCTATTGACAAGCACGGTTGGAGATAGACCTCATATTGTACATGTATTTTTAGATGATATATGTAGAAAAATTATTTTTGAGATTTAGTCTCCCGCTTTATATTGTATTCACTAGTAGCTCTATGTCATATAAATTGGATGTTTAGTTTTTCTCAGCACTTCTCCAATAGAATATTAGGGTCAATTTATGTTTCTTGCCATGATTGGACAAGATATGACTTGTGTAGTTGGGTCTGGTAATATCGAGTTAGGTCACAATTCTAGTAATACTTTCACCCGATGAGGATCTACTAAGATTCCTTCACCACTCATTATATGTCCCAACAATGCAAGACTGCTCGGCCAAAACTCACACTTTGTGAAATTTGCATGCTACTAATTTTTTTAGACAGCTTCAGTTCTATTTTAAATGTTTAGCTTGATCTTCATCAATTTTAGAATATATCAAATATCATCAATGAATATAATCACAAATTTATTTATGTATGTTTAGAAAATCAGATTCATCAATCCATAAAAATGGCTTGTGCATTTATTATCCTAAGCGGCATCATAAAAAACTCATAATAGACTTATGTTTTCAAAATACGTCTTTTCGATATCTACTTTTTTAACTCTAATTTGATGATATCGATCTCAAATCAATTCTAGAGAAAATAGTAGCACATTCTAACTGATTAAATAAACTATCGATTCTTGGCAATAGACACTTGTTCTTAATTTGCTAATCGATGCATAATCTCAATGATTCATCTTTCTTCTTAACAAAAAGCATTGGTGCACCCTAAGACGAGTTAGTTGGTCTGATGAATCCCTTATCGATTAATTCTTGCAACTTCTATAGCTCTTTAGGAGGCATTATTTAAGGAGATTTAAATATAGTTGATATTCCTAATTATAGCTTAATTTCAAACTCCACTTCTCTCTCAAGAGACAATCAAGAAAGTTCCTCTAGAAACACATCAACAAATTCTTCTATAATTGAAATATTCTTCAACTTCTAAACTATCTTTTTTTTAATACTCTACTTTTTGCTAAGAACATTAACTCCATGCTTCTCAAACCATTCACCAAACCTTTATTGCCTTGACTAGGGAATACACCATAGTCTTATTATAGGAAAAGTAAAATGGCTTCCCCATAAGCAAAATCAAACTTAGGAAAATAAAGTTTGGCATGCTCAACACTTTCAAAATCACTCCCAATCATAAGTTTTCCATCAATAAAAATTTCATCTTTTTAAATTAAAAGACTAAAATTTATATGAAAAAAAAAAATTATAAGACTAAAATTTTGTTAGAACCGTCGATATCAATCTCAAACCAGGTGAAAATAGTTGGAGGATATTTTTTAACCCATCAATTCGCGCTAACTCGAAAAATTCTTTTTCTCCAGGCCTACTCCACCATGCGTTAAATTGCCACAGCATTTAGCGTTCCAGTCTTAGACTTCGTTTGGTACGACTTCTTATTATTTCTTAAAATAATTTTTTAGTATAAAAAGTTGCTTTAAGAAGCAGTAAGAAAGCAGCCCAAACGAAGCCTTAGACCACAACTTACCTTCATAAATTACAGACAATAACACTTAGGTTTCGTTTGGGACGGCTTTCCTCTTGCTTTCTAAAACAACTTTCTAGTACAAAAATTTCTTGAATTTAAATTTTTTGTACTAAAAAAATGTTTTAGAAAGCAATACAAAAGTTGTCTCAAACAAAGCCTTAGGCTTCCTTCGAAATAGCTTTCTTACTGCTTTTTAAAGTCACTATCTACTAAAAAACTTTTAAGTTAAAAAAAAAATTATACTAAACAACAGTTTTAAAAAATAATAAAAAAACTATCACATATAAAATCTTAATTAATTAAAGAAACAATAATGAATGAGTTGCCCAACAATTTTTATACACGCTCAAAAACTTTTATTTCCTAGAAATAATTATCATTTGTCATCTTTCACTAACTATAAATTGTAGGCCATGCTTGCTGATTTTGAGACATTTACTGAATGATAAAAGGTTCAAAACATTAAGGCAAGTATTCAAGCTCATGAACAGTAAACAAAATTGCACAGATTTTATTACCAGCGTTAAGAGTTTTTTTATCCCTTGAGGGGAAGTTTTCCTATGAAGTTACTGCGCAGGTTTCCCAAGTAAAGGTGCCCTTCATGCTCTAAAGCTGAAGTAACAGTGGAAATCACTCCTCCATCATAGTCATCAAGCATCCTTCTGATCTTCCCATCTGATTCAACATTGACAACCATGGCTCTGTTCTTCATGGGCTTGATCAGTTCAACGGCTTTGGGAAATGCTGCCATTACCAACTTCGCCAATGGTGACTTGTGTATCAGATCCAGCCACCTTGACCTTATCTGAAATCAACAATTTTATCAGTATTACAGTTATCTCTTTCTAAGGAGAGATTATTTTGGACGCTGAATACAGTTTATTGTCCATAGACCAATCAGAATGCTTCACATCATCGGTACCGAGCGGTATCGAGCCGGATACAGAACAAGAGGTGATGTGGTCCATTCTGGTTGATCTCCGAACAACGTTTGACGCCACATAGAATAACTACCACCGTTCTAAGATACCCTAAAGGCATTGAAATTTGAACTGAAAAATGTTGAAATAGACCTGTATAAGGGCTATCCAGAAAGACCCATCAGGAGCAAGATTGATGTTATCTGGTCCACCTGGAAGGTTATCAATGAAAACCTCTGTACTTCCCTTCAGCTCTCCTTTGAGCCAATACTTGAGGCACCTAAACCTGGAGCAGAAGAACCATTAATTAGTTGCTGTCTTCTATTACAGTCCAAAACAAAACTGAAGAGGTTGTTTGGCTGCAAGTAGGATTTTAGTAAATTCTGTAAATTCAAATTTAATAAATACTTAGGCAGTTAAATACTGAAAATTATTTGACATAATAATGATTAAAATTGATTAAATTCTGATAAACTGTTTGGTAATTTATTTCTGAAATTCAACATGGTAACTTATGTAATATTTAAATGCTAATGTTTTATGAGTAATTTGAAGGGGTATGCAAATGCCATTCTAGCATGAGGAAGGTAGGTAGGGACAATCTCTCTTGTCGGAGAAATTATTTTGTGCAGTCACCGGATTGTCTGGAGACAAATTAGTATGTGTCACGTCACCCGATACATGACGTTGGTACACACAAAAAAAAGTGACGTGGCGCATCATGATTCATCTCTAGATGAGGTTCAGTGGCCACACAGAATAATTTCTCTTCTAGTCGCAATTCTCATAAATCTGCTGAAGACCCAGATTTAGTAAATCTGAGATTTACAACGATATAAAGTTACAATGGGATTTAAACTACGGTAACTATTTTATCCAATATGACCGTTTGACAGGATTTTAATGAAGCCAGTAAAAATTCAAAATAAATTAGCCAAACAGCTCTGAAGTCTTTGATAGCATACTTCCAGGTTTCTGAAACAAGCAAATAGTCTTCATTAGGTGAAAGAGCAACGCCATTTGGAAAGGATAGGTTGGCAAGAACAACTGATGTCTTCTTCTTTAAAGGGTCATATTTGAGGAGACGGCCATTTGAGCGAGCTTCGAGGAGATCAAGGAACCAGTTATCGAATCCAAACTTGGAACTTGCGTCGCTGAAATAAATGCTTCCATCCGAGGCTTCAATGGCATCATCTGCGAAGCTTTTGTAACAAAATTTGTTCTGTTTCAGGGGACTGTTTATGATAGAAAACAAAGGGAAAATGAGTTTTACAAGAAATGTTTACAATATCTTGGTGCCCTCCACCTCAGTGGCTAGAACGTTGAGGCCTCCCTCTCCAACTTTTAATAAACCCTACATAAACCAGGGTTAATGCACATAAAAACATAGGGGATTTACATATATATAGCACTCGCACTACAGAAAAATTATCTTTTTGCTTCGGAAAAATTCGTTGCAAAATAAGGAAAATCCGTCATAAAATCCGATTTGTGGTGGATTTCTTTCCGTCACAAAAAGAACGTCGCCAATATTATTTGCGACGAAAAAAATTTGTCGCAAATATTTGCAGTGTATTTACGTCAAAAATTCAAAAAAAAATCAGAAATTCAAACATAACCGGCTGGCTGTTGCCCGAGCCTGACCGACTGCGTGATAAATTAAAAAACATGGTTGTTGATGCTACCATTAATAAGATTAGCATTTATGTTATTTACATACATACTACTTTATTTCATGCTATTTACATATCTAACACCAAAAACATTAATATTGCATGCTTACCGCCCATTGAACAAATTTGGGTGCATCGAATGAAATATTAAAGTTTATATGATGGTAGAAATGAATTATAGGAGTGGTATATTTGATATTAAAGATATATATGAGTGGTGGGCATGTAATATTAATGTTTTGGATGTTAAATACGTAAATAGCATGAAATAAAGTGGTGTGTATGTAAATCTCCCTAATAATTAATATGATATTCCCAAACCTTGTAGGCATCACAAACAATAATATCTCCATCCAAAGATGGGGCAAGCCCAAGTAAAGAAGATCCTCCAATCATCTTCCAGTCTTCCCAAGAACCATTGGAATGCATTCTCTTTATCCAGCCATCCCTTGTAGCAGCGTACAGCTTGCCATCTTTCCCTACACATATGTCTTCAGGAAGGATGAGACTTCCTTCTCCTAATTTTTCCACACCCTTCAAACATTAAAAAGAAAATTCTTTAGTTCAACTAAAGTTGATCTAACTTTTATTCTAATAAAACACAAATTTTCATCAAAATTACAGAGAAAAAAAAAAAGATCTGACAAGAAAAAATTAAGTAAAATATGGTAAGGACTTTTTTTCATCCATACTGTATATTTTTCTTGAAAAGAAGCTTAATGGTCCTCTCAAGATGAATCATGATCACTCATCTATTTTCATCAAGACTACTATTAATATAGCACTTGATATTTCACTAGAATAAAAATAAATCAATCTAGAAAGTGGCTTATTTTCAACCCTAAAGGAAAGTTGAGCTTAAAGTTTTTAACTCTTCGTCTGGGACAGCTTTCAAATTGATTTATAAATCAGTTTTTTAGTACAAAAAAATTTTGGAAAAAAAAACTGTACTAGGAAGTTGCTTTAGAAAGAAGTAAGAAAGTTGTCCAAAACAAAACCTAAACTACTTATAAGGTGTAAAGTAAAAGTTCTTCACTTTCTAGGAATAGCTGTGGGTAAAATGAGCCTTATTTGGATGCAGGGTCAAAATTTGTACATGTTCATTGTGAGTGTCAATATTTTAAATATTTGATGAGAAAGAAATAATAGGCTTCACAAGAACGATGGGTGGACCCCCTTATGCTCACTGGGGGCAATTGCCCCTCCTAAAAAAATTTAAATTTTTTATTATAGGAATTTTTACGTAATTTGTTCATCTCAATTTATTTATTAGTCTTTATTACAACTGTTTTTAGGCAATTGCATCCTCCCACCCAAAAAAAGTTTTAAAATACTATGGTCTTTAGACAATTGTCACCAGTATAATTAAATACATTGTGTATATGTGTTATTATTAGAGAATGATAAACCAAATACAAAGATAAATAGTAAATCAAAATTTATTCGAAGGGCGCTGTCCCTAGGTCGAACCCCGCCAGGGGGCGCTGCCCCACCGATATATCTGCCAACAGTTATAAATTTGGCCCCCCTGAGCATTATGGCTGGTTCCGCCCCTGTTGGATAGATTATGGAGGTTAATCATTTGAACTGGAATGCATTCATTTTGTTATGCAATCCTCTTCAATAGTATGGTTGTGAGTTATAGAACCAGATATATTTAGATAACAAGGCATTAGGAATGTGGTTAATATAAATCCAAAGAATTTAGAAACATAATCAAATTATACAACGGTGCTATCTAAAGATTATAAATTATGTGGATGAAACTTTTCCATACATTTCACCGCTACTAATATTTGGTCTACTAAAGAAGTTAGCCATGAAAAAAATCATGCTATTGCATTGATTCCACACTGCATATTGCACAAATTCTTCAGCACCAGATGGTGATTGAATGTCTCTATTGATGAATTAGATTTTGTTGTTGGTCATGAGTATGGATCATGGCTTTACTCCAAGATGGATAATTGTCACTGTTTAAATTGGTGGGGGAAAGAACATGTTTGATAAACAATAAGAAAACTAAGCAAACATACTAAAATTGTAATATTTATACTTCGTTTGGGACGGCTTATTTACCGCTTCTTAAAACAGCTTTATAGTTTTTTAATTTTTGTTATAGAACACTGCTTTAAAAAGCAGTAAGAAAATCATCCCAAACAAAACCTTAATCACGATCTGATCTAACTTTTAAAAAAATCTCTCTTTATGATGGCCATACTAACTCACAAAGCCAAAAATGATCCCTTCAAACCTCTTAAGTTTTTTATTCTATCTCTTCCCAAAATAAGTAAGAAATCATTCATATAATTATAAAGATAGCAAGTTGGGCAAACAATCAAACATGCTAATCCTATTTTCTTAATAACTATATTCACATCTAGTGCATGTTTAATAGATAAACAAATCAATCTTTCACTCTTAAGACTTAATTTTTCATTAAAACATCATGTGATGATGAAATTCAACAAAAAAAAAGATGCATCAAGAAAAAAAAATGTACCTTTTATTATTTAGGGTTTGTCATATGCTTTAAATTATTAAGGGAACAGTTGGTAGTAGAGGTTTCAATATTTGACACAATCCAAAAATCCAACTCGAATCCGACACGGAAATTTCGGATTCGGGTCAACCCAAACTGAGTCGGGTTCAGGTTAGGGTTTTCAACCTGTTTCAAAAATCGGGTCGGGTTCGGGTTCACCCAGAAACCCGAAAATGATCAAGATTGATCCGCGTGACCGAGCTGCCTGAGTGACCGCAACTGACCGCCGCTGACCGCAACTGCCCGAGTGACCGCTGGATGTCCGCTTCCGCATAGGCCTGCCCGCCGTGATGCCCGTCTGCCCCTCGCTGCGCTGCCCCATTGACTTTCTCCACTCTTCGGCCCTTACGCAGCTAGAAGCAGCGCTATTACGGAGAGCAGCTCTCAAGCTGCTGCTCTTCCTCTTATCCACAGCGACGGCAGAATCGCAGTTGGACACGGAACCTCGAACAAATTAAAATAAAAGTCATTGATTTAGCCGTGCTAGAATTAAAAACATATTTAATATATATCCATTTACATATAAATAAAATAAAGTTATAAGATAAACTAATTTATGTTTATCCAGTTATTTGTGAAGTGATGACAAAAAAATTTATCACATAAAAAAACATTAAATCTCACCTGTTACCCGTGAAGAGCAGAGGTGTGAAGCACCGGTAATCCGTGAAGATTTTTGTAGTTAAAGAACCTGTATTTTGCTGATTTTTGTAGTTAAAGAACTTGCAGAAAGAGCAGAGGCGGGAAGAGCAGAGCTGAAGCCGGGATACAGAAGGTTTCGTTGAAACCTCTTGCTCTCCCGCGAAAATCACAGGCGGGAAAGAAAACAGAGTGAGGGAAGCATTTCACGGAGTGGTACTTTTGTTATGAGAATAGTATTTATGTGGTATTAATGTAATATTTAAAAATTAGGTGTTAAATATGTAATATGAAATAAATAAAGTGGTATGCATGTAAAAATCCCTATTTATTAAGGAATCGAATAGCATTAAAAAAAAATTAGCTGAAAAAGGGGAAGCCGTAGCAGATACAAACCTTGAGGAGATTGTTGGGCGGGAAACTAGAAGAAGGGAGAGCCAGAGGCAGCGGCGAGATGGGAGAGTGAAGTGCCACGTGGAGCACGAGAGAGAGCAGGAACACCAATGAAGCACTGGCTACGATTATACGCCACGACATTTCACCGCAGCGCCTAACGAAAGAAAAAGGATGTAAAGGGGAAAAAATGGCTTTCTCCACTCTTCGGCCCTTACGCAGCTAGAAGCAGCGCTATTACGGAGAGCAGCTCTCAAGCTGCTGCTCTTCCTCTTATCCACAGCGACGGCAGAATCGCAGTTGGACACGGAACCTCGAACAAATTAAAATAAAAGTCCTTGATTTAGCCGTGCTAAAATTAAAAACATATTTAATATATATATCCGTATACATATAAATAAAATAAAGTTGTAAGATTAACTAATTTATATGAAAAATCAGCAACCATAAAAAAGTCATAAGAATTGGCTCAGTTGAAAGAACAATTATTACGTCCTCCGATCAGACGCAGAGGAATGTCCGGTCGGAGGCCAAATCCCACCAAAAAATGAGTTGTACCGAGCAATACCAAACAATAACGAGGAATACCATCATTTGAAGAACCAATACCGAGTTATACCGAGAAATACCGAGTTATACAAAAGGTGTAGAAAAACTCGGTACAACTCGGTATTTCTCGGTACAGCTCGGTATAACTCGGTATTGGTATTCAAAGAGCGGTATTTCTCTTTAATATCAAATAATACCTAGTTGTACCAAGCAAATACCGAGTTTTTTGACCGGATTTTACCTCCAACCGGACGTTCCTCTAGTCCTTACACCGGACGTAATAAAAGTTCCAGTTGAAATGATCTGACTAATACATGTTATAGGTGATAAATGATATTCTTCTCTTTAGTTTGGGAATACTGTGATATAATGTAGGTGGCGTGAATAGTTGAGGATGGCCACGGTAGAAATTGGAAGAGCCTTAATGCATCAAAATTATCGTCAAGTGATCATTTTTTATATGTTTAGTTGTTCTCCCTTAAAAAAAATGATAGGAGAAAACTAAAGGTCAATACGTCCAATATTGCTTTGGTGTTGACATTAAGAATTGGAGTTGATGTCAATAGCATGCATAGGGTGTATAGGTATGGCATGCATCAATTTTGTTGACAACATGGGCCAAGCTTATAAGTGATAACATGCGTCAACGGCATGCATCAGCCATATTTGTAATGACATGCATCAAGATCAAGCGGGGGCTATTTCGGGTGCTATATATGCGTGGTTTAAGCGAGGAAGGTGGGCCCTAGGCCGGCGAGTGTGCCACACATGCTCGATACCCGAAGCAGGTGTAGCTAGCAGAGGTAGAGATGGGCTCGAGCTCTCGCAGTATGAGGCTTGAGAAGCTAGCGAAGCAATTTTTAAGGAAGTAGGGGCATGAGAAGCTAGTAACCGTCAGGTGGAGTCATTTTCTTGGGCAATTCTTTATTAACAACAGGTGAAGGAGAGAAGGCAATTGGCTCGGAAGATTAACATGATTGTTCTATGTGAATAGCAAATGTCTTTTCTTATCTTTGTAAAAAGACCATACCAAAGTGGCTATTGTTAGAAACTGGTCAAGTTTTAGTTAGGTTGTATCTTAAGTGTAGTTTATCTTGATTTTAGCTTATAAATCAGGATGGCATTATAGCAAGGAAACAAGGCCAATAAGCAATAAAGATTATTTTGAGTTCAATTCTCTCTCCCTCCCCTCTCCCTCATTCCCTCTACATTCAAAAAAGGACATATCTTCCTCCAAGATCCAACAGATAGTGATCAAGAGATCATAATCAGGTGATAATTATTAAGAGACTAGTCAGGCCACAATAATTGATTACCGGATATAATATCATTGTTCCTCACCCGTTGTTTTAATTTTTTAAGTAAATTCTGTTGAAAGCTAGTATCGGACAAATCATAGCTTAGCAAGAGAAAGGAAAAGAAAGGATTTCTGTCTTATTCATTAAACGTCTACAGTACATCTCTATATATAGATTTGAGCAGCTAGTTACACAAGAGGCAATACAAGAATGAGAAATGCAAAGGCTACACATTTATATCAGGTGTTTGTCTGTTGGGCGCTAATACCCCCCGGCAAACTGATGGGTCTTGGCATGACAGTCAGTTTGTTTCGAAGAGCCTGAAAGCGAGGAGTAGACAAAGGTTTTGTGAAGATGTCGGCCACCTGATCAAGAGTGCTGATCGGCAAGAGACGGATACTTCGTTGCTGGATGTGATCACGAACAAAACGGTGATCTATTTCGATATGTTTGGTACGGGCGTGAAACACCGGATTGTTTGCGAGGGCGATCGCCGACGTGTTGTCGCAAAAAACATCTGTGGGCTGAGCTTGCGTAAGATCGAAGTCAGAGAGAATCCGGCGAAGCCATATGGTATCGGCGATCAAAGCAGCCAAGGAGCGATATTCGGACTCAGTAGATGAACGAGCCACGGTGGTCTGTTTCTTGACTGTCCAAGAGATGAGAGTGTCGCCTAGATAGGAGCAGTAACCGGATGTTGATTTCCTTGAGCTGGGATCGCCGGCCCAGTCGGCATCTGAAAAGGATTTAAGAGATAAGTTAGACTTGAGAATAGGAATGCCGAAATCCAACGTACCTTTGAGATAGCGAAGTTGTCTTTTGAGAAGGAACGTATGCTCGGGTAGAGGTTGATGCATATGTTGAGAGAGATAGTTGACACTGTAGGAGATATCCGGGCGAGTGAGAGTTAGATATTGAAGTGATCCAGTAATACGACGGTATAGCGATGGATCCGAGAGCACAACGTCGGGTTGTATGTTCTGCGGCATTTTAGTACACGCTGGATTTGCAATCGGCTTACAATCAGAGAGCTGAGCTAATTTAAGTATTGAGGTTGCATAGGCTTTCTGGGAGAGAAAATAGTTGTTAGGCGTGCGGTCTATCTGAATCCCGAGGAAGGAGTGAACTTCGCCAAGGTTCTTCATGGCAAATTTGAGACCGAGTTGCTTTAGGGTGTGATTGAGAACATCCGAATTATTGCCGGTGATAAGGATGTCATCCACGTATATGAGGAGGAAGATGATGGACGTCGATTGGCGCAGAATGAGCAACGATGGATCGAATGTGCTGTGAGAGAAACCAAGTGAAACGAGATATGAGGTAAACGTGTTATACCATTGTCGAAGAGCCTGTTTGAGGCCATAGATTGCTTTGTAAAGACGGCAGACATGGTCGGGGTGTGTAGAGTCTTCGAATCCCTTGGGTTGATTCATGTAAACGATCTCAGAGAGTTCACCATGCAAAAATGCGTTGGCTACATCAAGTTGATGGACCGGCCAATCATTGTGAAGAGCAATTGTGAGGAGAATGCGTATAGTTGGGAGTTTGGCTACTGGACTGAACGTTTCGGTATAGTCCAGGCCATATTCCTGATGATTTCCAAGAGCAACTAATCTAGCTTTGTATTTGGCAATGGATCCATCGGCATGACGCTTAGTACGAAATGTCCATTTGCAGCCTAACGTGGAGGTATTAGGAGGACGCGATACAAGACTCCAGGTTCCTTGTTGCTGGAGAGCGTAGAATTCGGCAGCCATGGCTTGTCGCCAATGAGTGTGTTTGTATGCATCTTTGAAATTGGTAGGATCTGCAGGAAGATCAACCGAATCAATATGAAATAAATTTAGCCGTTGACGTGGTTTTAAAGAACCTGTTTTAGTGCGTGTGACCATCGGATGTGTGATAGACGAAAGTGGAGCAATATATTGTTCATGAGCTGGAACAACAGGAGATTCTCTAACTTCCGATTGTTGAGGCAAGGATGGAGACAGTTGAGTGGATCTTACCATCTGAGTAGTTTTAGATGTACACGAGTTTACCTGAGAGGTAGAGACAGCCGACTTTGGAATTAGGAATGAGGGAGAGATGTCAGCAGGTAGAGGAGTTGAGGCGGGCACATTTTTGGAGAAGGGGTAGGACAACTCATTGAACGTAACGTGCCGAGACATGATGATGCGATCAGTGACAAGGTCAAGACACTTGTATTCTTTGTAGTTGTCTGAGTAGCCCAAAAATATGCAAGACTTCGCTGTTTGTTGAAGTTTATGTCTGAACTTGGCCGGAGTGTGAGGAAAACACTCGCACCCGAAAGTACGAAGGTAATTGATCTTTGGTTTCTGATGATGAAGAAGTTAAAACGGTGATTTGTGTCTGGTATTAGCGGAGGGCATTCGGTTTATTAGATACACCGCCATGACAGCCGCATCTGGCCAGAATTTGTATGGTACGGACGCCTGGTGTAGAAGAGTACGCATAGTTTCTACGACATGCCTATGCTTTCGTTCGGCAACTCCATTTTGTTCCGGAGTGTTTGGACAAGAGATTTGGTGCGAAATGCCCTGAGCACGAAGAAAGCTAAGCAGATTATTATTAAGATACTCACCTCCGCTGTCGGTCCGGAGGCATTTAATTTTGAGATATGTTAGCAGTTCTATCTTGGTTTTAAATTCACGAAAAATATTAAATACTTCAGATTTGTTATGCATGGGAAATAACCAACAAAACCGCGAAAAATCATCAACGAAAATTACGTAGTACAAATAACCGGTGTTGGAAGAAGTGGGAGCAGGGCCCCAAACGTCAGTATGAATAAGAGCTAAAGGAGTATTAGATCTGTTATTAGAAAGATCAAAACATAGTTTGTGACTCTTAGACGTGTTACAAGATAAGCAGGACATGTTATTCGAAGCAATCTTGAGCTCGGGGTAGAGAGAAGCAACACGAGCCAGAGTGCGGTTGTTGGGATGTCCGAGTCTGGTATGCCAGAGATTAAGGCGCTGAGTTCCTGAGTAAAGCGCGTGATTGGGAGATGCTGCGGGTGCGTGGATGATTTTGTACAATCCCTTACTGCAATGTCCTTGAAGAATGGTTTGATGCGTCATCCGGTCCTTGAAAATAAATCCAGAAGAATCAAAGATTATTTCGATGTCATTATCCTTAGTTAATTGAGAAATGGAGAGTAGATTGTATTTAAGATACGGAGAATGAAGAATGTTAAACAGATTGAGCTTACGAGAGGGAGTCGGTAGCAACCCTTTACCGGAGTTGGTAATGCTAACCGAGCTCCCATCACCAAGAGTTATGCCGTCGTTGCCGGTGTACGGAGAGGAGATGGAGAGATTGTCCAATGAGCGAGTCATGTGAGAAGAGGCGCCGGAGTCCAAGTACCAATCGTTGTAGTTGTCGGTGGAGTTTGCCGCAAGTGCAGTAGTAGTAGATCTTGGTGTTCTTGGAACGTAATTGGAGTTCAGCCGGTG